GTTGACCCTCAGGACTCATGTCTTGACTTCGATCTGTCCCCTCTTGGTGACCCTTTAGAACTTGACCTTCAATCCAACCCCATGTTGTTGACCCTAACGACTAAGCTCCAACCCCTTGCTGTTGACTATTTAAAAATTTTCCTTTAGTCCGACCCCACGTTGTTGACCCTCAAGACTCGTGCCTTGACTAAGCTCCAACCCATCGTTGTTGACCATTTTACTTTGCCTATAGTCCGACCCCATGTTGTTGACCTTCAAGATTCATTTCTTGACCCTCAAGATTCATTTCTTGACTTAACCCCTACCCCTCGTTGTTGACCGTTTGTATAACTGTACCTTTTATCCTTTTTCACGTTGTTGACCCTCAGAACACATGTCTTGACTTCGATCCGTCCCCTCTGCGTGACACTTTAGAATTTGACCTTCAATCCAACCCCATGTTGTTGACCCTATTGACTAAGCTCCGACCCCTCGTTGTTGACCATTTATGATTTTTTCTTTTAGACCAACCCCATGTTGTTGACCCTCAGGACTCATGTCTTGACTTTGGTCTGCCCCCTCTGGTTGACCCTTTAGAATTTTACCTTTAGTCCACCCTTAGTCCACCCCATGTTGTTGACCCTCAAGATTCATGTCTTGACTTAACCCCTACCCCTCATTATTGATAATTTATAACTCTGCCTTTAGTCCGATCCCACGTTGTTGACCCTCAGGAGGACTCATGTCTTGACTTAGTCTCTATCCCTCGTTGTTGACCGTTTATAAATTTACCTTTAGTCCAACCCCATGTTGTTGACCCTCAGGACTCGTGTCTTGACTTACCTCCAACTCCTAATGTTGATTATTTAGTCCGACCCCACGTTGTTGACCCTCAGGACTCATGTCTTGACTTAGCTCCAATCCCTCTTTGTAGACCATTTATAACTTTTTCTTTAGTCCAACCCCACGTTGTTGACCCTCAAGACTCATGTCTTGACTAAGCCTCGATGCCTTGTTATTTGACCATTTATAAATTTAACTTTAGTCCCATCCCTCGTTGTTGACCCTCAGGACTCATGTCCGACCCAGCTTGGTGACCTTTTAGAAATTTACAGTTTGTCCGACCCCATGTTGTTGACTCTTTATTAATTATTCATGTCTTGAATTAACTCCGACCCCTCGTTGTTGACTCTTAGGCCTCATATAATGACTTACATCTTATTGTTGTCCCCTCAGAACACTTTTTAGTTTGTCTGAGGGAGAAATTTCAGTGACAGCGGCATGATTGAAGGCGTAAAAGGTTTGTCTGAACTGTCATTGATATATGTACTAGGTATGTCAGTTTACTTGTCTTTTTGGACTTTTCAAAACTGCAAAGAGCTCCTTTTGTGCGGGCAGCGGAAAAATATGTTTAATAAATTTACTGTGTGGAATTTATCTTACTAGTTATTTGTTTGTATTATTGGCTAGGTATTCATGTTCATTCCTCTTTTTATCATTAGTGATTGGAGAGCGCCCCTAGAAGTAGGTCCTAAGAACAAAACTGAATCAAGAGTGCCGTAAAACACCTACTCAAACAAACAAACAAATAGTAGGTCCAACTTCTTTCCTTTCCTTCTGTCATTTCTTTCTGTCTGTCTTACTTTTTCTCTCATCTGAATGGAAGTTATTTTGTTTGAAAAGTCCCTTTTCATGATCATTTTCATTGCCATCATCAGATGTTACTTGGATGTTTTTTAAAACTCTTTATCTCTTCTTGGTTATTCCCAATTAATAATACCGTATGTCAAAAGCAATTGCTCATTTTTGCATTCATGTTGTACCTCAGGGTCATATTACATTTAATATATATTATATAGGTCTTCCACTTTGTCTTGTGCTTTCTTTTTATTCATGTTTAATTAGATGTACCAGAGTCGCGTGTAGAAGTTAGGCTCTTTGCCTTGGCACTCAGTAGACTTGAGTTTGATTTTTAAATGGAGTTAAAAAAAAAAAATCTTGTATCTTAGTTTGTCTGCTTGGATATTGTATTCCTCTGTGTCCTCCTTGGCCATGATTGATAGACAGGACAAGCACAGCCTGCCTCATAAATGATCAATGTCAAGTAGATGGGGGTGTTGAACATTAACATTTACTAGATATAAGGTGTCTTTGCTGTAGCGATAAGGTATTTTGCAATGGCACACATTCTTTCTCTCTTTGTCTGTCTCTCTGTCTGTATGTCTGTCACTGTGTCTCTCCTTCTCTCTCTGTATCTCTCTCTCTCTCTCTCTCCCTCCCCCCCCCCTTTCTCTCACCCCCACATACACACACACATACGTACACATTCACACACACACACACGCACGCACAC